ACTGACTTACATAGAGCTGTAGGAGTTTGTTTTAAGTAAACTAATTTGTGAATATTGATTTTTAAAGAAAGGTGGAGCAGGAAGATTCACATTTTCACCATTGAATCCTCAGCAGAAAGATGCCAGATCATTTTGATCTCCAGGTAAACAATCACAACATTTAATTTATCCAAGAAAAGTCAATGCAGTTTGTTTTGTTGTTGTTGTTTTTTTTATGTGATGACGAGATTTAGTCAGTTTGTGTATGACCTCTGTAGCATGTTGTTGCAACCAGAGTGTGTGTCTTTGGTGAAAGCGCAGCCATAGATTGCTATCAGGTGTATTTGCTTGTTTCTCCGTGTTAATTTGGCCCGTTTCTGGAACACTGCTTCAGTCATTATTTGGACTGTCAGCATGAGCCGGTGTGTGTAGATCAGTGCAGGTTCGTTACTTCACCCACTGAACTGGACTCCGCCACCGGAGTCATCTGCTTCCTCATGGAGAAAGAATAAGAATACTTGTGACACAAAAAAAAAAAAAAAAAAAACAGTAAAATGGTGTTATAAAAAAGCTAACAAATGATAATATACTTGGTAAAAGTTGTTGTTTTTGTAAATCCTCTCTATCCTTGCACAGCTCAGAAAAACAGAAATGTTACAGCTGTTGTGGTTCATGTCTATTGGACTAACTAGGCACTAAGAAGGTATAATTGAAGATGTCGAGAGAGAGTTTCGTCAGTCATTTGGGATGATATTATTACATAAAAAATGCTTTTAGTTTTTGCCAGATTGTGCTGCCTGTATGAATAAGGCACACTTCCCAAACTCCGACCGAGCCAAAGCTTCTCTTTGAGAAATACCAGCTCTTGTCATAGCATACATATACTTTTAGCAAACATGTTTGTTACATTGGAAACAGTTTTTTTTTTTTAAATGGAGACAGATGGTGAAAATTTGTCATTCGCTGTCAAATGTGAAATCTACAGGTGTCCAAAATCTTTGAAGATTGTGCAATAATAAAAAAGAAAATTCAAAATTATATTTATATTTTTAAAGGGGATTGGCTGCTGACTCCCAAGTGCCTGATCAAAGTTTTTTACAAACTATTGGTCAATTTGGATTTTCAACTCTTAACCATATTCCTCTAAATCCTATTTTCCAGTCCTAGTTGAGGTGTGACAGAGGAACATTGACATCATGGAGCGTAATCTCTTAGAGGAAAAGAAGAAAACAGAGGGTTTGCATGAAATAAGAATAACTTAAACAGCTTTAGGTCAGTCATGCTGCATGCAGACCCTGGTCTCTCGTTTATTATTGGGCTGACTTCCCACTGTGTGCTATCAGAGGATTCCTAAAACGTGATACAAAAAAAGCAACAACAACCAAACACCCTGGTGCTCATTTTAATCCCTGCTGTGATCACGGCGCCTGAAGTAAGTAAAGTCCATTTTTACTTTAGATTGATGGCTAGAACCTCCCCTTGACAAACATGAAGCCATTTCTCCCATAAAGGCTGCACACATCAGTTCTTTAATGAATGTCATCATGGCAACAGCTTCAACTATCAGCGCTAATAATATTCACACCTTATAAAGCTGCTGACTTCTTCTTACGCTCAGCTGTGTCTGTTGGCTGTCAGCGGAAAGCGGCCCTGCATAATCACCGCTAATAAATTAATCCCAATAGAACTGTCACATCTCATTTGGACTCATTTGCACATGATTGTGTTTGTTTGTGTTCAGTCTGTAGAAGAAAAAAAAAAAGCAGAAGCTTTGACTGGCAAATGGCTGGAATGAATGAATTTCACCGCTGCCCCTCTTCTGCCCCCCAACCTCGCTTGCAAGAGAAATCAAACTCCTTTTGCCAGAAACTCGACATGATGGGCGATCCTGAGTTGATCACAGCTGTCAGACGTCTGCAGACGTTCTGCTTTGATATGCCCTATGTGTGTTTTGGAGTTGATGACTCCCTTGGATGATTAGTGTGGTTAAAAAAAAAAAAAAGGGGGGGACAGCTGCCAGGAGAAAACGATCAGGCTAAAGATGATGACAGACTGAATAGTGGAGGGCTGTGCGAGCTCCAAACGATGCTCCCTTTCACTGAAGGTCCAATGAACCTGTGACCGACACGGAATGGAGATAGCAAAACAATAATGCAAAACCTTATTTATTTGAGGCATTTCAGATTTTTTGTTACGTTTCTGAGTATATGTCAGTATCACAAACCTTGCTAAAATGACGTTCAGTAATTTTTCTTTGTAAAACAAACAAAATAATCAATTTCTTGTAGAAAGATGATAAAGCACACATTATTTCTCAAATAGACTTAGTGAAGTGAGATTACTTGGGGAATGTTGTGGGACTGATGTTAACAAATTTTAATTGGGAAAACATTTGATAAAGGGATGTGGAAATGAAAGGATATTACATTTATAGGCATGGCATTTTTGGAATATTTCAGCAGTATTTTTTGACTAAATCCATATATATTATTTTAATTGTCCACTAATTTGACCCTTTGTGGTATAAAATTGTAGTTGACATAAAAAAATAAATAAATAAATAAATAAAACCCCATTTAAACCAGGGATACTAAAATACAACAAACTGGTAGATATCACCATTTGAACATATTGTTGCAAATTTATTGAGAAATGATCTAATCAATAAAAACAGTTCAACATTTTTTTTGTTTGTCTTTACAAGGTGGTTGGTTACTGTCGTTGTTGACACACACTTTAAACAAATAAAAACATTATAAAAGAGACAATAAAAGGTAAATATGCTCCAGCTCCTTCCCCCCTGCACGCGCCCGCTCTGCTGCGCAATGGAAATCACCATGACAACCACACACGTAACTGTCTTGATTTCTATTATGTGTTTGTTTTAAAAAAAATACTCGCAGGAACTGAGAGGCAGCTCGTCCTGTCCGCAGTTTAAGGGCCTGTGCGACCAAGTTATCGCCTCTTCTCGTCTGGTGAGTTTAAGCCAATCTAGCTAAACCGGGGACTTCGTGTGAAAAGCGTGTCTAGTTGAACAGCCGACGCTGATTTGCGCGCCGTCTGGTTGCGGTTGCTCCTTGCTCGTCCCTCCGACGTTTGAGTTTTCCTACTTTTCACTTTGTTGTTGAACGCAGCCGCGAAGCTCCCCTTTTACCGACGCCGCGGTGGAGAGAGATGGCTGCGTTTCGTTCACTCTGCCGGGCGCAGCCGCTTGGTGGCGCTGCTCGCCGGTTCTGGTGAACAGCCGTTGATTGGTTGGTTGGTGTGATCGTCCCGCTCACTCTGCTATCAAGGAGCGAGTCTGTTTCCCGGACACTGAGCTGCTGGAAAAAGCTCTCCCCTCAGGCAGATTCTGTGGGTCTGTGCAGTGGACTTCGTTGGAAACTGGGGGTGGATGATTGGACTATACCTTCCAGACCAACTCCGGTCTTCTTGGTTCTGCTCTGTTCCTGCAGCCCCATGACCAAAGTCAAACTCAGAGAGGCAGCATTCGGCTGTCAAAGCGGCTCGAACCCGGAACAAATATCCAGAAAACTGCAAAGAAGATGAAATACCGAGTTCCCTATTTAGAAAAGCCTTTGAGGAGCAGTAACTCGAAAATTGATCAATACATTTGATGATTTGGGCGATGGCATTAGATGAAATATAGTTATAATTGGTGATTATTTTATGTTTTTTTTCTGATGTAAATCACTTTGAACTGCCTTGTTGTTGAAATGTGCTACAAATGAACTTAACTTGGAGAAAAATACTATATGAACCACAAGGTGGAGGATGTTTCCTTCGACATTTTACACTACACTCATCCAGCGAAAAAGACAGTAGAATAACTTAAGCTTGTATTTTCAAGGCCAAGATTGCAACAGGGATGAGGTGAGAGCAATGCAGAGGTGCTTGAAGGTGAAGACGAGAAGAGCTAATTGGAAATCCCACCTTCACACCTCATCTGCCCCTCTTCTACTCAGTGCCCCTACCCCAAGCCCAAGTCTTGCTGGAAGACAGCTGGTGAGGCTGGACTCTGTGTGCGATCCCGAGGTCGCTCAAAGCCTGTGCCTCTCAGCTCTGTGGAGTACTCCATCTTCAACATGAGCCTGAACCTACAGAGGGACCCGATGACGTGGAAAACGTGCTGTCTCGTTCCAGTGCGGAAGACGCTACGTCTCTGTGCCTCCGAGGACTGTATTTCATTGGGGGCTGACGTCTCCAAACATGAACATCCTGCAGAGACTTGTCCAAGCCACAGCGGGTACTCTTGCAGTTTGCCCACCAGCCCAAGCTTGGAGTTGAAGATGCCGTCATTTTTCTGCTCAACCATGTATACGCCAGTCAGTGAGCATCGTGAGAATTATGTTTTTCTTTCTCCAAAGCATTCCACACCATCCGCTTGGCTCTACTGGGTTAGAAGCTGTCAGGGACGCAGGTGGATCCCCCCTGCCTTGTGTCTTTGTGACACAGTTTGAGTGTCGTAAGGCGTGGAGGAGGTTGTGTGGAGGGAAGAGGGGCCCAGGAGAGAGCTGTTGGGTCATGGGGCTGGTATGGCAGAGAAGTGAAGGAAGGGGCCCAAAGTGGCAGAGCATTCAACGCCAAGACAGGAAGATGCACTGAGGGAGAACAGGATCAGTGACAAAGGAGGGCGTAGCAGAACAGCTGAAACTATTAGAAAGGCCTGTTATTGGCTCAGAGTGCCGGTGTGCGTTTAGGAGAAATAGGCTTGAATACCATTTTTTGAACTTTTCTTCGATTGCAGCCGTTTGTTTATGCTTCGTGGAGGTTCAGGACCGTTGAAATGTATCTGGGTTTCACAGGGACGTCCACGTTTCCTGATGCGTCTCAGACGGGACTGAGCTCCCGGAGGTGGTCCTGAAGACACGCTTTTTTTCCACAGACGATGCTAGTTTTGCTGACTGTGCGAAAAACAATATTTGAAAACATAACAGAATGTTCAAGATGTCAACGTACCACGGAGACATTGCCACAGCAACAACAGACTTAACTGGCCTGATTCCCATTGTTTGTTTTTAAATTAGTCGAATTAGTTGATTTTGCCCAGACTTTCAGTGTGGGATCAAAGAAGCCCCCTCTTCTCGTCTGGTAAGAATAAGCATGATTAAAGCAGAGTTTTAATTTGAAAATGTATCTGTTAAACAAGTACATTGACTATTAAGGTCTGTTATTGGGTGAGAATACAAGTGGATGTTTTATTTTTACAATTCTAGGATTTATAAGTCTGAATAACATTTTTATTGTGTTTTATTGTAATTTCCTTTTAAAAAGGAGACTTCTTCAGTTGTGATAGTTTGTTTATATGTTTCAGGACTTTTGAAATTGCTCCATATATGATTAAAATAAATAAATAAATAAATAAAACACCCCGGGGTTCACAGGACGCCCCATTTTGCCCACTAAGCAAAAGTCTTTTGTATTTTAGATCAGATTTAAGTCCTGAAGATGGTTCTAAAAACAAAATAGTGGAGACAAGTGTATGTTTTCTTTGTTATAAAAAATGGTTAAAATGTCACAAATATGGTGTGCAAATATGGTAATTGCCACGACAACAACTGACATGATTTCTACTGTTTGTTTTCAAATACTTGCAGGAACTAACTGAGATTAGTTGTGTTCAAACTTTCAGAGAATCCTCTCTTCTTCTCTGGTAAGTGTAAAGATAAGCAGGGATTTAAAACGTACCTGTCAGACAGTTAATGCTAATTTTTAATCTGTCATGTTGGAAACAAATCGGTAATTTATGCATATTCTAAGATACTATCAGTTACTCCTATTACAAATATCTTACAGTAAAATTATTTCAAGTCTTTCGACAAAGTATCGACATTTTTAAGGCATACAAATAATTCCAAAATGAAGCGAACTATGCGCTAGTTTTATATGATGAATTGTGAATGTGGTTGTGAGGGACCGGGCCGGTCAGCCATGAGTACACAGTAGCAGATTTTCTAAGAACATGGGTTTTAAACCCCAAAAATAACACAATTCAAACAATTATTACAATCATCTCTCCTTGAATGTAAGCTAAACAAAGGAGATTGTTGCAGTTTTCAGGAGAAACGAGGTTAGGTCGTGCCCTATTTACGTCGTGGGAGAAGACGTTGAGGTGGTTGTGCAATATAAATCCTTCTGTGTTCGCCTGGGCGACAGACTGGACTGGAGATGCAACAGTGAAGCTGTCTATAAGAAGAAACAGAGCAGACTGTACTTCTTGAGGAAACCAAGGTCCTTCGAGGTTTGCGCAAGTGTGTTGTTGAGAGTGCCATCTCTTCTGCTACCATCTGTTGGGGCAGCAGCATCAAAATCAGGGACCTGAAAAGGCTCAACAGCTTGTAGAAGAAGGCTGGTTCGGTTCTGGGGACGACTGCGGAACATTTGGAGATGAGGATGCAAAGAAGGACATTACACCAAGTAAAGAAATTCATGGACAACTCTAACCATCCTCTTCATGAGGCTGTCTATGGAAAACAGAGTGTCTTCAGTCAGAGGCTTCTTCAAATTAACTGTAATACAAACCACTGCAAGAGTTACGATAGTCGTGGCCATCATAACTGCAGAATTTGATCAACAAAGTATTTTTAAAATTGAATTTAAACATACGGTTAACAGTACGTGTGTCTCTATTTTTACTGCAACACAGGGACACGCTCAGCTGCTGTACGTCACTATGACTAAGGCCAATGACCAACTGATGACCCAGTATAATGCAACAGTCATCACACCATCACCAGAAAACCGGGACCCCAGACCGACCGCGGACAGGTCACGTGGCTCAGGCTTCAAGGGGTTCTGCGCTAACTATCTCTTTAGCCAATATCCTTTGATGATTATTTCAGGTGATATTTGTATCAAATAACAAGTGTTCTTTAATTAACTCTCCATTTTTTTAGACTAGTCAAGTTGCAAAAGTTGTAAGTTGTTACCTCAACCTGCATTGCAATTGAATAATTTTATTAGGTTTTGTCCTTAACTTCACACACTTGGGCAGGCTCTGTGGCCTTTTTGGTCATACTTGTTGGCTGTCTTATTCAAGGAATTTACGTTCCTTGCACAGCGGACTATTTCCTGCAAAAGGTGAGCGTTAGATCCGAACTCATTTAGTCACTTGTAACCACGAACTGCAGTTGTTGTCTGCCAGTAATGCATGAATTTAACTTGTTTCCAATCAGATTGCGTCCCGCGTGATGCTTGGCTACTTCACTGTGGAGCTGATAATCAGAGTGAAGGCCCTGGGCCTCCAGGACTACCTGACATACTACTGGCACAGATTTGACATCTTTGTTATTTGTATCGAGTTAGTAACCCTATAAAACTCAGGTCAATTTTGTGTCGCAATGTCAACCATGTCTGAAACAAAGTAAATGAAATATAAAGTGTTGACAGAACATCAAAATCCTCCATAATACTTTTTTTGTGTGTGTTTGCTACTGTCTCCTCAGGATTTTGGACGTAAGTCTTGAACTTTGTAATATACACCTATCACTCTCCTATTCAGTTACCCCATTGCGACTGTTGAGCAGAATTGAAGGTAATCTTGACGGTCACTTGGACATTTCCCACAGTCTGCACACTTTACTGTCTGGATGCAAAACAATACTGGTCAGCATTCCTGCACAGTATGGATGGATGAATAGCTGGGCTTTATTTAATGTTCTCCTAGAATTCATCCATCTGTCAGATTTCACGTTTAAAGTCTCACCAAGGCAGAACTATATTTATATTGAATTTTCACATGAACTATGTCTGCCAGTTATTTTTATTAGATTGTAGTAAATAAATATGTCAACGTTAAAGTGAGATGAAATCCCAGGAATTTGTGCAATGCCAGTCTATCAGTTAAAAAATTGCTTTCAGTGGTCAGTTCACATCTTAAAGGGGCAGCCTTATGTAAAATCAACTTTTTTTGAGCTTCACGTCAAAAACCTTGTCCTGATTCTTTCATGCATGTTTGAGAAGCCCTTGGATCTCTTGTGGCAGACACTCAGCTGTGCAAAACAACTGAGTGGACCAAGCACCGCCTTCGAGCGTCCAAGCTTCTGCCACGCAGAGCAGCCCTCCCCTGTGACTTCCCCTCTCAGCTCCTTCAGCAGCAATTACCAAACACCTGGTGAAACTGCGAATCTGCTGAGCTCATTAAACAAGCTACTTCTCAGTGAAGCGGAGGATAAAAATGTTCAGGGATTAATGGAGGAGCAGTGTTGGAAAGAGCAGGGCTTTCTTGAAAAGACAAAGGCCCAATTTTAGGGCATCGGATTACGACGTCAAATTAGGTTCATATTTGACTTATGCAGGATTTTTATAACAACTGAAAGGTTACATAGACACTTGGATATGATCTAAGATGATACTACGCAGATGAAAAACACATATTGCTGCCCTTTTAAAGCTGAACATAGAACCACAGACATCAATCATGACACAAAAACAACCTGAGTGAGACAGACAAACCTGAAGCTTATCCAGTTGTCTTTACCTCTGCAGAGATGCGCAAGTTGGTGACCATGCTCGTAGGGATCCTGCCCATGCTGGGAAATGTAATCTTACTCTATGTACTCGTCATATACATCTTTGCCATTGTGGGAGTCCAGCTGTGGGCGGGGGACCTGCTTAACCGCTGCTATTTGCCTGATGAGATTCTTGCGTAAGACACCCTCCAAAAATCTTTTCCTCTTCTCTCTCCTGCCTTCATTAAACTCTTTGGGAGTCTTCAGTCAGTGACATCGTTCACCAGTCAACTCGTTTAGTAATCGACTAATCATTAACTTTCGCATACAGATTGTAAAACATCCCAATTGGTGAAAGAACAGCACCCTAAGAGCTGTTACTAAGCCAAAACTGCAAAGACTATCTATGAAATACATATACAACCAAGGACACCTTAAGTGTCATAGTTTTAACTTTACAGCTTAAAATTCTGTAAAGAAAATAAATAAAATTCCTAAAACTGTGTTAATTTTAGGGCAAGAAGAAAGCTGTAGTTGGAACAAATGATATATGCGCTTTAGGCAATATAATCTTTATTGTCTCATTTAAAAATGGAACTGTATAATAATATAGCCTCTGTTTAAGTGGTTGAATGAAAAATCTGCAGCTTGTACCAATTTTTTAGACTCTGATTGCTGGATTAGCTGCCCGATATGTGATGGAATAATCGATTGCCACAATAGTTGTTAGCTGCAACCCCATAAAATAGTTGCGCCTTTAATTGGCCCCAATATCTTGCTGGTTAATCTTTCATTACCACTTTGAACTCTCAAGGTTGATGGCCTCTGCCACTGAGAAAAAATAACTTTTCAATGGACAACAAGGCCATATTTCAGAAATATGATTCATTTTTATATATATATATATTTTTTAAATTTGAATCTTTCATGTGCTTGTATTAACACAGAATATACAGCAACTTAACTCCGAGCTACGCGTCCATCCCTGGTGAAAGAGCTCCCTTCATCTGTAGCCTTGATGATGGCATGCGGTACTGTAAAGACATCCCTCCCAGTCGTGAAGGCAATCTCACCTGTACATTACCCGTTCCCCATCTGGATCCACTTGCTTCGACCCGTAATGGTAGTCAATGTGTCAACTGGAATTCATACTACAACATATGTCGGTCGAGTGGAGAAAACCCAAACTTGAACTCTATAAGTTTTGACAACATCGGCTACTCCTGGATTGCCGTTTTCCAGGTGAGTTCCAGATTTTTCTCTATTTGTCTCTCTGTCACTTTCTCCATGTGCACTATGTTGTCAAAAGTATTCAGTTTTCTGATTTCACACACATACCAACCTGAGTGACGAGCCTTCCTCAATCCGTAGAGGTCCAAATGCTGTCTGCCGACCCCCTGCAGGTTTAACAGCTTCAGCAGCTCCAGGGTTTAGGGGTTTGTTTGTTGTAATGTTTGACTATTGTTGCAGGAGTCTTTTTATGAGGTCAGAGACTGACTTTGGAAGAGAACAGCATTTTACTCAGGCCAGTCAAAATCTAACACACTAAATTTAATTCACCTCTGTGTCTTTATTGACTTTGCGCTGTATTCAGGTCATATTGAAACCAGAAGGTTCAGCCCCAGACTTTTCCTGGAGATTTGGAAGCATCAAATTCTGCAAAATATCTTGGTGTGCTGAAGCACTCTGCATAAGGTTGACACTATGATGTGGTTCCACAGAAAACATCCAATCATTGTCCATGGGTAGAGTTCACTGAGCTCCTGATAGCAATACGTTCTGTTACAAATGTTTGTAGAAGCAGGCTCAATGTCTAGGTGCTGGTTTCTGAATTCAATGACTTGGATGGGGAGTGAATACTTTAAGCAATGTAGAGTGTATACCATGAGCCAAATTAGGAAGAAGAATTTTGGTACTTGTAATGTTTTGCCTTTTAATGTCTAGCTCAGAGTGGACCACTTCAAGATTTGCATTTCTCTGCAGACGTGCAAGTTTTAAATTAGAATTATTGTAAACTCGACGAACGGATGATCTGAACTTAACAATTATCTTATCTATCTTCTATTGTGATTGGACTTCTATGTGTTCTTCCCATTTTTTTTATAACTCTGACCCACGAGATCTTGGTTTCATTTCATATCATCAGAGATTCAGTTCACATTTCAGACTTTTTTTTTTTACTACATTTTTCCCATAATTTTTTCTGTGTCTTTTTCTCTTCAGTCTGTCACACTGGAAGGCTGGTCTGACATAATGTACTATGTGATGGACGCAAAATCCTGGTGGAGTTTTGTGTACTTCATCGTCCTCACTATTGTAAGTTTCTGTCTCTATCAGCTGGCAATCTATGGATTTTTTTCTTCTTCTTTAAGTTTGAAAAAAACCTCAGGGCAAAAGGTTGTAGAGAAAATGGACATTTTGTATGCAGCACTCAACAACTGAGATTTCCACGTCTGTAAATGATTTGTTTAGTCGTTTTTTGTAGATGATAGGGGTATTATTTTTTTGTTTTGTTTTTTGTGCTACCTCACATTAGTATCGCAATACGTTTTGTGTCCCATTGCAATAAATGAGCAAATACAATCAAAACCTTCTATTGTAGCAGAAGTACTTTCACTATTCAAGATGCTGCATGAACAGACCAGTAAATACATTATTGCAAGAGAACGCAAAATGCATTGCAAGGGAACGCAAAAGTATTGCATAGGAATGCAATACTTTCACAAGAATATGCAGACTTTTTTTTGCTAGGGAATGCATTACTTTTGTGAGTATTTTTTGGTTTTTTTAACCTTAATGTCCGCACAGTCATTCAAACTTTGCCATCAGAAATTCAAATGTATGTGTATCACAACTAAAAGCGATGGCTGCTATTAGCTAGCAAGTTTTTTCTCAAGGGTTTTTTTTTATATAAAAAAGGGGATGATTCCCCCAACTTTCCTCTCCACCCCACATCTAAACATACTCTCAGCATGATCTTGCTCAAGATGGCAACTGCTACAAAGTTATTGATTCAATGCAATCGGCTGGGCTTCAATTTTTCAGCATTAGCTTAGCATTGTAAACTGAATTCCACTGTATTTGATGCTTTAATCTGTAAACATGTTTGGTGTGGATTTATTTGTGCATTATATTTGTATATCACGTAATAATGGTTCTGTTTGTCTTTCGTGGTGCCTTTTTCACAGTACAGTTACTGTGGATTGACCCTCACAAGAGCAAACTGAACTGAATGGCATAGTTAATATCTCATGCAAGCTACAACCTAATTATTTGTTGTTTATGTCTTGATCCAGCTCGGCTCCTACGTCATAATGAACACATGTGCCGTTGTTATTGCCTCCCACTACTCAGATGCCATGA